TTTCATAAGTTAAACATATGCTTACCACACAACTCAGCAGTTCTATTCCTAGATATTCACCAAGAGAAAGGAAAACTTCTATTCATTCAGAAACCTGTATGTGAATATTTATAATGAATATTCATAGGCTCCAAATACTGGAAACAACCCAAATATCCTTCATCTGGTGAACAAATAAACTATGATATACCCATATAATGGAAGACTAGTTAGAAAATAATTTTCAATGAGCTACTGAGAAATGCAGTAGCACAGATGAATCTCAAGTATATTATGCTGAATGGAAGAAGCCATTCAAAAGACTGCATACTTTATGACCCATTTATACAACAGTCCAGAAAAGGCAAAACCGTGGGGGACAGAAAACAGATCAGTAGTTGCCAAGGACCAGAGCTAAAGGGAGGATTTGACTATAGGGAGGCACATAAAAATTGGGGGCGAGAAGGCAGAACGGTTCTATATCTTGATTGGTAGGTCACATGACTAAGCATTTGTCAAAACTCCAAATGATATCTAAAGAGGGTGGAATTTACTGTATATAAATTATGTCTCAATCAACTGGACTTTGAGGGGGAAAGAAACCTTTTCCTCTTTTGTATTGAAGTCCCACTTAGGATTATGTAAACACCCACGTTTGGGGGACATTGTTGTTGTTTTCTTTTTGAGACTGTGTCTCACTCTGTCACCCAGGCTGGAGTGCTGTGGCATGAACTCCTGGACTCAAGCTATCCTCCCACCTCAGCCTCCTGAGTAGCTAGGACTATAGGCATGCACCACCACACCTGGCCGTTTTTGTTTTGTTTTGTTTTGATTTTTTCTTTTGCAGAGACAAAGTCTCACTGTGTTGACCTGGCTTGAAATCCTGTGTTCAAGCAATCCTCCCACCTCAGCCTCCCAAAGTGCTGGGATTACAGGCATGAGCCTCTGTGCCTGGCCGGTTTGGGTATAAATATATATAGTGAGCTCTGATCTTCACTACAGAGCTCTATAGCTGTTGGTAGTTTGGCGATTAGTTGTGGCTCAAAGAGTATTTCTGTGTATGAGATTTACACACAAGGCATTGACTGAATCAAATCAACCCTGTTGCCCATAGAACATTTCAGCATACTACCACCTCTCCGTACATGGAGGGGTGACTTTATTGTTTATGTAAGGGAGAGGTAATTTATTGCTAAACGGTGGGAAAAATAATAAAAAGTATCCAAGTGAAAAGCAGGTAGCAGAAGCAGATTTGATCTTGCTTCTTGTAATCAGAGCATGCCTTGTTTTGTGAGTAGAAACTGAGGGAGCTCAGAGTCTAAGAATTTATTGTCAGTACTAACAGGTCTTCCTACAGGCTCCTTTCCCCTTTGCCTTCACCCAAGCCTTTCTCAATCTTGATAGTCATGTGCCTGTTTTATCCCTGCACCCTGAACCTTTTTAAATTCAGACAGATGGAAAATGAGACTCAACCCTAGGACTCACAAGTTCACCTAGAAGGATTTACTCCACATGAAAATGTCCCAAACTGCTGCCCTCCTATAAGTCTTCTGGGGACCCTCTAATCTTCCTTTGTTCCTGAGCCCCAAGTTTTTCTTTGCAATGAGAAAGGAATTGAGCTTCATTGGTTTTCAGCTGACGTGTCTCTGTGGGAGGATTCAGAATTGTAATTGGTTTCTGTCTGGGTAGAAGCCAAGAGGTGTGAGAAATCCACGGAGTGTCATGATCCTAATCATGTAACACTATTACTGACACCCACATCCTCCAGGAGCTCTATTTAGAGGGAAGCTCAGCACAGGCTCTTGTTTACTGAAAAGCTTTTATTCAGCCTGAAGAGAAATGGGTAGAGAGGAGAACCAGTGATTAAGTGTAGCCATGAGCGGAAGTCATCTGTTGTGCAGTCTCATTTGTTCCCTCCGTCCCAAGCGCCAGCGGTCCCATCCCCAGTGGGTGGGTCCCTGCCATCCCTCCTGACAGCTCTGCCTCTCCATCCACCCCCACCTCACTCTGCACCCTCCCTCTCCATTTCTGCCTGTGTTCATCCTGTTAACCTAACGATCACAGCTGGTTGTCCTAGGGCAGACGGATGCTGTTCTGAAAGTCCTTCCATAGCTCAGCAGGGTCTGTAAGAGGAGGATCCATGAATGCCTGCAGGCTCTGTCCTTAGAGCTCAGAATAAGGGAGATGGCAGTCCCCCCACCACCACGTGTTCCTAGACCAGTGTGACATTGCAAGTGCCAAGCTGCCTAAAACCCCCAGGGGCTCCTTGAGTGCCCTTTGCCTCCCAGAGCAGGCAGCCTCTCATCCTTGCAGTCCTTGTCTTTGTTATCTTTGGAGAGGCTCTGCAGCGCAGCCTCCCACATCCACCCCCGACCTCCACATCTGGATTCGTTGCCAGGGAGCAGAGGGGCAGTGTGCAGAGCCCAAGCCCAGGGCCAAGAGTGCTAGTCCAAGAACCTAGAATTCCCATCAGGTCTCTCCCTTCCTGCTCCAAAGTGCCTTTTAGACCTCTTCCTTTAATTTATTCCCAGTGAAATCTAAGTCTCATTATAGTGCAGTATTGCTGCTCCTGCATAGCTTTGAGTCTTTCTATCTGGATTTTTTTCTTATTACTGCTTGATATTATTGGTCATTTGTCATTTCTTTTCTAATAAGCTCTGGATTGTCATAAAATGAAACGGGTTGTTAAGAATCCAAAATCTAGCCCATTTGCCATTGTGGGGTTATTTCTAAACCAGTAAATGTTCTGAGAGATATTTGACATCATTTGCTATTATTGTTTCCAGGTTTGGATGTCCTTTTTTGCTGTGTTGTTGTTGCTGTTTTGTTGGGTGTGGTTTTGTGGTTTTTAAGAGGAAAATGAAAGAAGCATAGAATAAAATGCTAGAAAACAAACCCACAGCCCATCTGTGAGAGCAGGTGTCACAAGTAAGGTTTGGGGTTTGCCTGTTTCTGTTTTGTAATCAGAGATGATGACACAAAGCATTCAAGGAGAAGACACAAAGAATATTCTGTAAACATATTCACACAATAACCACCTAAAAGGCCACCTAGAATTCTCTATGTGTAAAAATCATTTCCTTTCTCAGCCACTCTTACACACAAGGAGGTGAACATGGCCATATGTGATATTCATTATTTCTCTGTTTTTTTTCTATCACAGAAAGCAAGATTTTTAAAATAACTATATAGGCTTTCATTTTACCTTTATATTGTTATCCTGTCCACCCTCAACTGGTTACCATAAGCTCCTCTGTCTCAACAATCAGCCAAGAGGAAGTAGAGTTTTTATCTTGTTTATTTCATTTCTTTTATATTTTGGGACTTTACAATTCATTGTTTCTTAGTAGGGAATCAGAGCTAGCCAAATTTCTTCAATGTCATGCATGATTAAGGAACTACATCCATGTTATATAAGCAAGTAATCATACTTCTGAAGGGAGTAGATTAAATCCTGGTTTATTATTTGCTCAATGTAGACCTCTCTTAAACATTGGCTATGCACACCCTGACCCACTTGTACCCGCACACACATATATACACACATAGACCATTAAGGAAGGACCTTTGCTCAAGGAATAGAGAAAAGGGCAATTTGTCCAGCATCTGCATATTTCAAATGAAAATAATCTTAGTCTTTCTGAAGTTGTGTCTCATTAGGGAAAGGCACTAGAGTCATAGTGGCTCACGCCTATTATCCCAGCACTTTGGGAGGCCAACGTGAGAGGATTGTTTGAGCCTAGGAATTCGAGATCAGCCTAGACAACATAGAGAGATCTCATCTCTACAAAAATTTTAAAAATCAACCAGGCATGATGATACATGCCTGTAGTCCCAGCTACTTGAGAGGCTGAGGCAGAAGGATTGCCTGAGCCCAGGAGGTTGAGGCTGTAGTGAGCCATGATCGTGCCACTGCACTCCGGCTTAGGCAACAGAGTGAGACTCTGACTTAAAAAAAAAAAAAATTATTGTTTAAACCTAACCAGTTTGTAGTTCCACACTCCTGAACCAGCCTTCTATCATACGGAGCCCCAAGGTCGCCCCTTCTGCAGGGTCAGCTGCCCCAAAAGATCCTTGCCCTCTCAGGCCTGACCTGGCCTCTCACGAGAGCCTCTTGCTGGCGTTCCTTCTTTTTCATAAGCTCAGTTACCTCCTGACTAGGTACCCCAGTTCCTTTTGGCATCAAGAAAGAACAAAGGCACGTGTCCTCGAGCACACCCATCTTATGCTTTTGTTTCCAGTGTCTGAAGCAGCACATTCAGCCCTTGCCTGCCCTGCTGCTCTTCGTGGACCACAGTGTTGCCCTTTGTTCCACACGCTCCCCAAGGAGCCAGGCAGTACTTGGCCCCTAGGGTCCAGAAGGCTGTCCCATGGCCCTGCTCCCTATCATACACCTCCCAACCTCACCTGCAGGCCACTCAGTCGTGGCTCTCAGAACCCCCAAACCAGCAGGCACAGGAATGGAGAGTACCTCTCTCAGCCCAGGGGAGGAAGGCCAAGTGTGCATTTTGTAGCTGTGTAGACCAAGACCCACCATCGCCGTGCATGCTGTCCTGTGCCTACTGAGGGGCATCGCGTATATGGCCAGACTAGACAGTCCAAAGCCTTCAACATTTGAGGAAGAGCAGCCTTTATCTGGAAAATAGCTATCACCGGCCCTCTGTATCCACGGGTTCCACATCCACAGAGTCTACCAACCTTGGACAGAAGATATTCAAAACATATATAAATAAATAACAACAATACAATGATCTTTAAAAATGCAAATTTTAAAATATAGCATAACAACTACTTGTATAGCATTGATATGATATTAGATGTTATAAGTAATCTGGAGATGATTTGAAGTATACAGGAGGATGTGTGTGGATAGTATGCAAATACTGCACCATTTCATACCAGGGACTGAGCATCTACAAGTTTTGGTATTCTAGAGTCCTGGAACCCATCCCCCATGAATACTGAGGGTCAACTACATGTTTAAATTACTGAACTTAACTGAATACTTTCTATTGTTGAAGATCCCAGAAGAACATGACCTGGAGAGTCAGATCCGCAAGGAGCGGGAATGGCGGTTCCTACGGAACACCCGTGTCAGGAAGCAGGCACAGCAGGTCATCCAGAAGGGTAAGTGGCATCTGCAGGCACGTTCATGTTTGAGGAAGCAAGGCCTGTGCAAGCAGGCCCCATGCTGCACACATGTGGCCTTGTCCCACCATCCCCTGCTCTGGGACAGACCCGTTCACCTCCCTTGCAAATAGGGAAATTGAGGCTGTAGAGAGGAAGTTGTTCCTTGAGGTCATACAGCCAAGTGGGGAGCTGGGAGGGGGCCCAGGTGGGAGCCCACCTGTCACCTCTGGGAGGAAGGATCACCAGGACTCTGCTTCTTCGCCTCAGGGCATGTCCACACCCTCAAGGCTATCAACAAGGGTAAGCCCCTGGCTGACCAGCACCTCTCAGGGAAGCAGAACTTTTGCATTTTGACATCTCCAGAAGGAAAGGAGCAAACCTTTCCTGGGCCTCTGGGAGTTCATGTCTCAGCAACCTGAAGGGGTGTCCCTAGGTCAGACCTCACAGGGAACACAAATATAAGATCCTGGTTTAATTCACTAATGTCCACCTTGTCCCTGAAATGGCTAACTCTATCACCCCAAACTCTAACTCAGTCACAGTTTCACCCAACCTCTTACCAAATTTGCCAACAGACACTAAAATCGCCCTCCTCCCCCTTGTGTGCTCCTTGTTTGCCCTTCCTATTTCACCCGGGAGTGAATGGACAGTGAGCAACCGAGAACAGCAGGCATTTGCTGCCGCCAGACAGTGACAGCTCTGGCTGTGGGTACACGGAGGCATGGAGGCAGTGTAGGGAGTGGGGAGGCCCTGAGGGTCTTCACAGCAATAAGGGTGCCAGGCTGCCCCACCCCAGGGACCCTAGTCTCCCCCACCTCCTAGGCACTGGCCCAGCTCTGGCCTAAGTACAAAGCACAGCATCGTGTCTCACATACCTTCTCCGCTAAGCCAGCTCTGGCTGCAAAACCTAAAGCTACCCCCAGCCAGACCAGGACGGTCCATAATCAGGGCTGCTATACCATTCTGCTGAAATGCTGGAAACTCAGCAAATGAAGCCACGAGACCAGGAGGCCACGCGACCGGGAGACCTCGCCAGCGAGCTCGGACTGAGAGTGACAGAGGGGCGAGCCCACACCCTTCCTCCAGTCTCCTGCAATGCTTGGATTTGGACTCAATGTATACTTTTATGTTTATGCCACAGCCAAGTGCGTGCTGAGAAAGATGCAAACATTAAGAAAGGGGGGAAGTGATGCCTGTAGATGGAACAGAATTAGCCAGAGAAGTCAGCATCACCTAGGCAATAGGATTGGGAAAGTCCTGTGTCCTTCCAGCCCCTGACCCACCCCCCAGCCTTCCCCTTGGTGACATTCGTGACCTTGGCTGTCATGCTCTGTCATTTGCCTATGTACAAAATGTACTCGCTGCTGGGGTTTCTCTTTAGCTTTTGATGCTCAAAATTATGCCCACTGTTTTGACTCCCTCCCAAAAATCTCTGTAACTAAGAATGAAAGCGCCTCTAGGGTAACACAGTTGCTGTCACACTAGACCCCTCAGCTTCTTTGACTGTTCATGTGACCCCTTCATTACTATAAAGTGATTTTCATCTCCTTTCTGTAGATTTTGGTGTTTGCTGCTTTAAGGAAGGGAGCTGGGCACTGAGGTTGTTGGTAACAGAGTAGCTCACCCTTCCCTGAACGTCACTGAGGCTTCAGCAGACACTGCACTGTGGTCCTGGTGCCACCTGAACAGTGCATGGCACAGGCAAAGGAGCCTGTGGTCTGCTCAGGCAGGGCCCAGCTCAGAGCATCGTGCAACAAAGTGCCCAATTACATGTCTTTGACCTTGCACCCGAAATGTAGGCTCCTCTAGCCAGAGCATAAACCCACCCACCCCACAAAGAAGACTTGGGGCACACTATGGGTCCTCTAGGCCAGACCAGAAGCTCAGATGAGGACATGCACTTATATAGGCCAGGGGGCTTTTCTCTGCACTGCTTGGAATTGGGTCTTCAGCTAAGGAGGAGTACATGGATCTCTGAAATGTCTTCCTGGGTTCCCAGAAGCCATGCAGGTATCTGAGGCCAGGGTGGGGAGGCTGCTCATCTTCCCTCTTCGATGCTGCAGCGGAAGATGGGATGTCTGCACCCAAAAAATCCCAGCTGCTCCAAGTAAACCTCATATCATTTACCAACAACGTGTCCACATCCATATTGATTCTGTCTACACTTTTCACCTCTTCCATGGTTCCTTCTAAAAGTCTTTTTTGGGGGGGAGGGTTTGGAGTTTCACTGTTTCGCCCAGGCTGGAGTGTAGTGGCATACTCACAGCCACCACAACCTCAACCTCCTGGTCTCAGGTGATCCTTCCACCTCAGCCTCCCAAGTAGCTGCAACTACAGAGGTGCATGCCACCATGCCCAGCTAATTTTTTTATTTATTGTAAAGACAAGGTCTTGCCCAGTTGCCCAGGCTGGTCTCAAACCCGTGGGCTCAGGCAATCCTCTCGCCTCCACCTCCCAAAGTGCTGGGATTACAGGCATGAGCCACTGCACCTGGCTAAAGGTCTTTCAAAGTCATGAAGGGCTTATTTCCTAATGCTAGTGTTTGGGGCCCTGGTAAGTAAGTCTAGTCCACATTCCTTTCCTGTGATAGATCTGTGATTATATGTCCTTCAATCCTATAATTTCATAGTTACCATCTTTCTAGATTGAAAGACCCCTCGGAACTTTGGCTGGAGTGTGGATAGTGATGCCATGCCCATGTTTCAGCCTTGAGTCCGTGTTATAGATCAGAGGCTTACCAATTCCTGTTCTGAAGTTTTTAGTGCTTTCTTTGTAAAATCTCACCCAAATGAATTTGTACCTATCTGAATATTATTGATGCACAAGTTGACAAGCATGTACTGGACACTTGCGACCATCTTTGTGTCAGTAGCTGTGGGGGTCTGAGCAAAGGCACAGATCCCTCCCTCTGAGGACACAGTGGGCTGACGTCACCCTAAGAGTCCAGACATGTCTCGTTCCTTGTTTTAGGCCCCTGCTTTCCTTCTGTTTCCTTTCCTCTCCACGTCTCCAAACACAGGGTATTGACATCGGCCATGGTAAAATACATTGTCAGTATTTATTGTAAATTAAAACTGCTACTGATTCCCTTCTTGTGTGTTTCTTTTGGCAGGCATCACAAGACTGGATGACCAGATATTTCTGAACAGGAACCCTGGAGTCCCCTCTGTGGTCAAATTCCACCCCTTCACCCCATGCATAGCCGTAGCCGACAAGGATAGCATCTGGTATGCATCACGCTTGCAGAGACCTTCCTTCTGACTGATTAACAGTTAACCACAGTGGTGTGTGTCCCTGTTCACTTCCCCCAGCACTGCTCCTCTTCCTCGCAAAGCAGACGGGAGGCCGCTTTCACTACTTTTCGTGGAAGGAAGGCACTTGCCCCAAGGCCCTTAGTGCCGTTTCAGCTTGAGGGGTCTCAAGAGCATCCTGAGAAATGTCCCTAACCGCCCTCTACTCTGCTGCCTGGGCCCGCCATACCCCACATGCCTAGCTCTGGCCTCATCACCGAAGGACAGTCTAGAGTCCTGACCACAGGTCACAGGGTAATGGCAGCAGCTTCCAAACCACTCTTGTAAGAGAGATGTGTGTCCAAGAGGTTCTCACTTATTACCCTCTCTGCAGAAGCAAGTGTGTGACAGAAAAACAGCCATAAAAAGGCACCAGGTGCCCAAAAGAGAACCAAGTTTAATTTATAGCAAGTATTGCCCTTATGTAACAGAGAGCCACTTCACGGGGGAGGACCAGTGGGAGGGGGGATTCTTTTTATAACTCATAAAAGCCCTGTTGTCCTCACCTCTGTTTCTTATTTCTCTCTATTCTTAAAAATTGCGGTAAAACATACATAACATAAAATTTACCATTTTAACCATTTTTAAGTATATCTACAGTCAGTGGCATTAAGTGCATTCACATTGTTGTGCAACCATCACTACCATCCATCTCCAGAAACCTTTTGAGCTTGCACGGATGAAGCTCTGTTCCCATTAAACAACTACTCCCCACTTCCCTTCTGCCGGCTCCTGACATCCACTAATCTCCTTTCTGTCTTTATGGATATGACTACTCTGAGTTCCTCATATCAGTGAAATCATCTAGTATTCGACCTTTTATGACTGACTTATTTCACTTAGGATAATATCCTCAAAGACATAAGGTAGCTATCGCATATGTCAGAATGTCCTTTTTGTGGCTGAGTAATATTCCATTGTATGGCCATACTACATTTTGTTTATCCAGTCATCTCTTAACAGACACCTGGGTTGCTTCTACCTTTTGGCCAATGTGACTAATGCTGCTGTGAACATTGGTATTTAGGTATATGTTCAGTTTTGTGCTTTCAGTTCTTTTGGGGATATGCCCAGAAGCAGAATTGCTGTACCATATGGTAATGCTGTGTTTAATTTTCTGAGGAACCACTCAACTGGTTTCCACAGTGCCTGCACCATTTTGCAATCTCACCAACAGTATACATAGACATGGGTTTCAATTTCTCCACATCCTCACCAAAACTTTTATTTTCTTATTTTTATTGGTTTAGAGATGGGGTCTCACTGTGTCTCACTGTAACTTGGGCTTGCTGTTCCCTAATGACTAGTCTTATTCACCTCTTATTTCCTTAAGCTTTTGGGACTGGGAGAAAGGGGAGAAGCTAGACTACTTCCACAATGGAAACCCTCGGTACACAAGGGTCACTGCCATGGAGTATCTGAATGGCCAGGACTGTTCCCTTCTGCTGACAGCCACAGGTGAGTGGGGTTTGCACGGCTAGAACCTAAACCCAGAGTGGAGGATGTAGCAGGAGACAAGGTTAGATTCCGAGATTCATGAGACACATTTGCAAGTCTGTCTTCTTGCAAAAGGCCCCACACATACATGAAGGTGACCATTGTTCAAAAACTGGGAGGTTTGTGAGGGAAAGGACTTCAACAGCAAAGGTAGGAAAGCAAAGCTGACACACATCCAGTATGATTCCAGGGACTTGTCCTCTCATCCTGGATCCCTGGCCTCCCCAGAACATGGAGAAGCCCCTGTCAGCCTCTGTCCTCTAAACCTTTGTGAGAGACTTTGTGGGTGACATGTGACACCCCAGGAATGAGGGAGGGGTGCCCAAAGCCGCAGCACTTTCCAGGGGCTTCACAGCCAAGATCTCTCATCTTTCACCAATCACGTGCTCCCTGGGGCCCTCGTATCTGCCTCCTCCTCAGGCCCACCTAGTTCCTGCCTCCTGAAGGATGGCCTATCATGATTAGCTGATCAATGGCTCATTACTAGTAGTGAGTCTCACTCTGTTTCTGGTTTTCTTAGGGATTTTAGTCTGAAATGTCTTAATTTCACCTTTACTATTGAGCAATAGTTTTCCAAACCACTTTCCTGATTGTTGACAGTATTTTCCTTTAACACTTTAAAAAGATGATTCCATTGCCTATTGCAGTTGAGAAGTCACCATCAGTCAGACTGCCCTTCCTGTAGAGATCATGGCTGCAAGGTGGGCGAGGGGAATACAAATGAGAGAGAGCAAAGGCATGTGTCCTTGACTCTCACACCCCACCCTCCCATGCTACCCTGTCCTGGTCCTGGTACTTGTCCTGGCCCTGGCTCTGGCTCTGGTCCTGGTCCTGATGCTGATCCTGGCCCTGTTCCTGGTCCTGGTCCTGATCCTGGTTCTTAACCTGGTCTTCATCTCCTGGCCTTGCATTGAAATTGCCGAGTTGGTTCTCCTCTCTCAAAGTGTTTGTGACCACACTGTGAGAGCCGTGACCAAGGGTACGTCTCCTCCAAACAAGGCCACCTCAGGACAATATAGAATAAAGCCATATCTAAAACCAGTCTTCTCCCTGTAGGTATCAGGCTGTGACCGAGAGGAAACTCATTGGGGTGGGCTGAGGGACTAGCAAGGCTCCACCAAAGGCTTAGGACGAATCAGGTGTGAGCATTTCTGAGCACCAAAGAGGAGAGAGTGATTCCTTGGCTGGAGAAATGAGCATTGGAGAGGGGCAGGGTCATTCACAGAGCAGGGAGGAACAATGGAAGGGCTCTAATTTCAAAACAGGAATGTTTAATGTATGGGGTGGAGGCCAGAGAGTGGACAGGCAGATGGGGTGGAGGCAGAGAGTGGACAAGCAGGCAGGTTGGAGACAGGGCCATCATCCATGAGGGCCACCACCTGTGTAGGGGGCCAGGACAGTTGAAGACTTGAAGAGTCCCTAAGGGCCTTGTGTGAAGCGCTGGTGAGGCCAGAGGTGGAGGTCTGGGGAAGGAGACTGGTAGACCCACACACTTGCACCACACACGAGGCTGGCCTCCTGCCTATCCGCTGGCGGACGTTGATGACTGTTTACTCTGTTCCAAGCCCCAAAAAGCAAGGAGGAGGGTCCCTGCTTAGTCAAAGAGCCCCAGGGATCTGGGTACCTGTCAAGTGAAGGCTGATTTGTGTGTGGAACACGAGAGGAAGTGTTAAGGAGAGTGGGAAAGGCCCCAAGATGTTTGGTGACATGAAGCTTCCAGTCTATTCCTTGACACAAGACGTCCCATCCCCACTTGAATTCTGTGGGAGCCTGCTTCCCACCAGGGAGGGAACACGTGGTGCTGCAGAGCTAAAGGAAGAAGCAGCACAAGTCCCAGAGCCACTCAAAGTTGAGTCTGTGGCCACTGGGGGTCAGAAGTAGTCATGAGTCCTCCCATCTCCTTATGCTGCGGCTTCTCCCCTTCATTGCCCAAGTGTGACTCTGAGGGCAACATGGCGAAAAACCAGCGTCCAAAGACCTGGAACCGTGACTTGCGAGTTGAGTCGCAGGCCCAGGCATGAGCAGAGTCCAGCTCTTCAGGAATCTTGCCCCCCATGTGGAGCACAGGCCAGGCCAGCACAGGGCCCAGGTTTCACATCCTTCCCTCTCTCCTTCCCCAGATGATGGTGCCATCAGGGTCTGGAAGAATTTTGCTGATTTGGAAAAGAACCCGGAGATGGTGACTGCTTGGCAGGGGCTTTCAGACATGCTGCCGACAACACGAGGTGGGCCCACCTGGCTCCTCCCTAGGAACAAAATGAGGTCCAGAGCTGCCGGGACACATGAGGTTCTGAGTCCTTCTGGGGCCGTCTCTCCATAGGCTGCTCATCGCCTCACATTCCCCCAAATCATAAACCAGTGGCTTCCCCCCAACAGCCAAGAGAGCACAGAAATTCAGGAATCCGAGCATGCTGCTGGTCTAAGCCCCAGTCCTGGGTGTGGTCAGCTGCCTGGGGGTGGACCTGTCCCCAACTTTCATCCTTGCTTTGCGATGGTGTACTGCTTGGGAAAGCATCACTACTAGCAGGGCCTGAGGGACCCGCGTCATGTGTTCTTTGGGTGGACACCTTCTGTACTTGGTGGCCTATCCAGGCTGGCAGGACATGTGGCTGCAGTACATGGCACTGGGCACAGCTCTGCATGTTGCCTGTGCTACTGCACAGCCTAGGTGAAGGGCTAGGCATGGCCTGCACCCTCTATATCCACCAGCACCTGATTTCTTCCTCTTTGCCCATCTGGGATCTAGTTCTAGGTTTCTGATCGATCATTCAGAGCTCTGGACCCCAACCCTAGAGAGAACAAGTGAAAGAGAATTCTGGACAAAGGCTAAGAGCAACCCTGTCCTCGTTGCTCTCGGGACACATCACAGTGCCAGCTGTGCACTTCAGGACTCCTCCTGTGACTTTAGGGACCTCCTCAGAAGGTGGCAGCCCTCTTCCTGCCCTGACTTGCTTCCAAGTGCGTAAAGCTCTCTTTGCTGTGCTTAGCCACGGTTCTCCACCTGGCCTGCGAGTCCATAAGGCCACTGCAGAGGTGTCTGTGAGGGGGAAGAGGCACACTTGCTGGGGAGGAGCCTTGAGTATCACCAGATCCTCAGAAACAGCCCCCTACAGTCATGCCCTCTGCAGAAAGGGGCCAGTGAGTCCTGGCCACCTCCTTAACTGTGGAGTCTCAGTCTTCCATGGGAACGGTGTGCAGGGTGTTGGGAGGGAAGACGGAGTGTTGGTGAGCTTCCAGGGAGCCAACAGGAACTGGATGATCTGAAGGATGCTATTCTGGTTTATGCTCTGCCCAGCCTGTCAGGAAGCTGCTTGCCCCAGGAAGCCCAGGACTCGGTTCTCTCTGTCTTGGAGATGGCTCACCAAGGTACAATCTTGGTTCAGAGGTTTGCAGCTGAAGAGGAGCCTCAGCCCAGCTCCTCAAAAATCCTGTGAGATACGTGTAGGGTCTCTGCATCAGCTTGTGTCTCCAGTGCAAACACTTATGCACACACACATACTGAGCCTGGGGACACTTCCTTGTGTAGGTTCCCATGTATACCATCGGGAGAATGGAAGTCAAGCCTGGACCAAGACCGTCCTGAGCCATGCACTCATGTTCAGAAGTCGAATCAGTGCTCAAGCTACATGTATGAGCAAAGCCACCCGTGGCTCTCCTCACCAGCCCTGGGGCCACCTGATGTCCTGCCTCTGAACAGAGAGCTGAGGCTCACTTCTGAGAAGCTGATCTGTGGAGCCTTTGTGTGGAGAGAAGACACCGTCCCTCCTGGTGCCCAGGCTCCCAGCTCGACCTACCCAGAGACACTGGGGCAACACCTATCAGTCTGGCCACACTGAGCCAGCCAGAGCCCACCGAAATCCTTCCCTTGCAAAGCCCTCCCCGGACTGCCTACGGAACCTCATGATCATGTTCGCCAGGACACTGGAAGTCTTGCACCTTTTACTTTCCCACCTAGAAAGATAACCTGTTTTGACCCAAAACACCAATGATTGAATTTTCATATTTGTAAAGCAGATGTCTACCCAAGTCAGTAGACTATCCCTGTGAGATGGCCCTTCCCTAGGCAGAGGTGCAGTGGTCTTGGCCTTCTTATCTGCTCTTGACTCTCTCTTTCTATTTAGGTTCTTCTAGCCCTCTTTGGTGTATATGTGTGTGTGTTTGATTTGGGGTCATTTTGCTTGGGATCATTTGCACTTAGAAGCAAGTCAGGATGGGAAGAGGGCTGCCACCTTCTGAGGAGATCCCTAAAAACTCGGGGATTTGCCCCTGTGCCCTCATGGGACCTGCCTTACCCACGGACAGCAGGAAGGTGGGCGCCTCCTCTCCCGTTACCTGTGCCTGCCCAGATCCAGAAGCCCAGAGCGGTCCTTCTCCTCTGCTTAGCAGCACTCATTCCCGTGGCTGTGAAGTTCCTCGGGGCCAGCAGGGGATGGGGCTATAGTCTTTCTTATTTGTTCCATCCCTTACATCATCCATGTGGTCCCCTCTGAAGCTAAGATAGCATTGGCCCATGAGCATGTGGATTTTAATGGACTAATCAGGTAGCCATGTAAGGCTCTGAGAAGAAACCTCAATCTTTTTCAGAATTTGATGCACAGATTCTGGAAGCATCTGTTACCATCTGAAAAAAAAGCATCTGTAATGCCAGTCATTACCAATGCACTCATATTGCAGCTGTCTTGGATGCACAATGCTAAAACTAGATTAACAGACTCAAAACGTATAAAGATCAAAATGAGTCCTTTTTATCTCTCAATCTCGCTATTTAGAAAATTATAAACAAGTAGAGCCTTACAAATCCAGGCAACAATATATTTCTTGCAATTTGTAGGATCTAAGTTTCAGAGTACCTAGCCTTCCAGGAAATATTTTCTTGTCCTCGTCTGTCTTTTAAATGCTCTTTGCCAATGTCAAGGGAGCATCTGACTGAGCAGCCATGGCCTGGCAGGGACTCATGTGACCAGAATTGCAAGGGTGGAGGTGGGTGTGTCCCGTGACACTGAAAACAAGTTCTATAGACCTGGATTCACATTTTAGTGTTTTGTAAAGGATTCTTACATTAAAAAGTTCAAAATGGAGGCAAGATGGTTACAAAAGAGAAAACTCAAGACTGACCTTATCTTCACCTCTGTAAAAAATGTAAGGACATTATTAATCTCCAGAGCAGAAAAACTAAACAAAGCAAGAAATGGGCTTCCATTCCGAAAAGAGGGACAAGGTCACTTTCTCTGAAAACCTGAAGAAAAGCCAGAGGACCCCCTTTTGAGGTTGGGGCCTGGAGGAGCAGGAGGCAGAACAGGCCTTGTTTCATCATCTTTAGCGGTTGGCTGGACACTGGCTCTACCAGCCAGCACACAGACTCCCCAGCCAAGTCTTCAGGACACAGTGGAACCAGACCATCTTTCCAAACCCTGCTGGTCAGAGCTGGCCCAGTTCCCAGTTCCGCATTGGAGCCAGCAGCAGCCAGGACAGGAAAGAAGCAGGGACTGACCCACCACGGCAGCTGTATAGCGCTGTGGGAAGATGGCCCAGTGGTGGTATGCATGAACATTGACAAGACTCTGGGGCCTAGTCAATTATCACTATCCAATCATGGAAGCAGCTGGAAGCAAGCAGAGCAGTGACCTTGAAAGCAGAGTGGCTGCAAGTCAGGGGCTTTCCTAGGGTCACCCTCTGCTCCTCAGGAACAGGGAGCTCTTGGTGCCCTCTTTTGATCTTCCAGAATCATGGGCAGATCTAGAATCTCCAACTAGCAGTCCCTAGTGGACAGGATCCCCCTCAGCACTGTGGGAGTCAGAACCAGGCAAGGAAAGTAGCCGCTGCCCCCATGGGCCCTGAGAAGGTGAGCAGGTCAGGTCTGACTTGCAGCCAGACCTCTCCTGCCTTGTCACCTGGATCCCTAGAGTGGCCACCAAGTATTTCTTCACCCATTTTCCAGAAAAGCAGCAGAAATTTAGGTGACATGGTCTGCTCCTGAGGCGCAGGTTTCTTGCTGTTTCCGTTGCCAGCACCAAGTCTCTGGCCCCACCATTGTCCCAGTGTCTCAGTGTGGACAGACAGGGGGTGCTCACAGGACCCCAGAGGGACATGGCATGGCCCCAAGGGGGGCTCTGGGTCTGTGCCCCAGGGAGGGGGTGGGGGCTGCCATCCTGTGGATCTGTGGGTCTTGAGTGGGGCCAGGTAGGAGGGGTGAGGATGGCTACCCCTCAGAGCTCCCAAACCATTGCTCCTGAGCATCTCCTCAGGTGGGGGATGTGGGGCCCTGAGAGGCCAGTTCCAGATGACAAGATCCTCAGAGGTTTAAAGTCAGCCAGAAATTAGGAATCTCGCTTCAGGGTCTGGGGGAGCATCCACCACCCCATGTAACACCTAGCAGTGAAACAGGGTGCAGGTAGACAAGGCCCCAACCACTGTGGTCTCACAGACTGGATATTTAGTTTTCCTGACTGGTTTGGGCCTCAGGAGAACCACTCCTCAGAGAAGACTGTGGGGCTTCCTGATCTGCCCCAGCAGCCTTTATCCCCCAGACAGGAGGGTGGGCAGGGCGGGGCTAGGCGTACTGTGTGGAGGAGCCAGAGCAGCCTGCCTGTTCCTGCACAGACCCAAAAACCAGGCTGCCAAGGAGACCCTGAAAGACAGGCCCATCAGAGACTTGGGAGGGTGTGTTAAGAGTAGAGTTTGGGAGCTCGCCATGGCTGTGACCTCCCATTCAGGTGACTGGAAAGCTTGCTGTCCTTCAAGGTGATGGGTTTTGCTGAAATCGCAGCCATCAATTTTGTTCCTTCTACTCATCGTGTCTGGGAAAAGAATGTCACTTTTTTTCATCCTGTACCAACTTCTGATGAATTAGACATTCCCTCCTCCCATCTTGTCTAGAATTTCAGCAAAGCCTCCAGTGAGGCTATGGCTGTCACCATTTCAGGACCTGGCTGAACTCCGTAGCCACTCAGGAAAAAGCTGTTTTTCATCAGACAGTTCTTATGTTGATCTGAGTGATTATCTTCCTGAGTCAGGAAACCCCTCAGAGTTGATGGGCTGCTGAAAAGGTCACATACAGTAGGGGAAGCAGCCTGGAAGCTTTCCAGACAAGATCCCTGTTCTTTTGTATTTTGTTTTCAACCAAAGCTCACCAGAGTGCTGCTTGGCAGAGCTGATCAGACAGAGCCTCCTCCCAGCGTGTGGGAAGGCATTGTCCCTGCAATGGACCACCACACACCTCTAGGCT